ACTGCATGTCCCTGCTCTCCCCTGAGATTTCCCACCTTCCCCTTAGTCCTGCAGGGATCTCCTGAGGACAGAAATCATGTTTTATCAATCTTTGGTTTTCAGCCCCTAATTGTGACATGTGTGATAACTGATGGTTGAATTAAGAGTGAATAGTGATGAATGCAGAGCTGTCCCTTTACCTGACAAGTCCATTGAAGACAGATATGTTCTTTTAAATATCCAACCACTTGTTGAGGGCCAGTTCAGAGCCAAGGCACTGGTCCAATTGCTTTACAAACAACCTTTTTCACATCCTCCTCATTCTCTGCTCCCCATTTCCCCACAACCCCAAATTGAGGGTCTTCCCAGATAGTTTGCTGCCCTCCTCCTGAGGGTTGATGCATTTATAGATCCCCAGCCCAGCTGCTCTTACAGAACCACAGTGGGGCACTGGGTGCTGAGCATTTGTGGGCCTCTTCTCACTTAATCCTCAAACAGCTCTGCTAAGTGGATCTACTATTATTTGGATAAACCAAGGCCATGAATTTCAGTGGAGTCCAAAATCAAACCTCAAAGTAACAGAGCAGAAAGTTGAATTCATGTGCATTCACATCAAGTACCCTAAACTCACAAAACCACATGCCCAACACCAGGGGGGTTTGTTGAAAGAGGAAAAAAATGTGGCCTAATCAGGTGCAGTGGTGCACACCTGTAATCCCAGAAATAGCGCACACCTGTAATCCTAGCTACTCTGGATACTAAGGCAGGGGAAACTCAAGTTCAAGGCCAGCCTGGGCAACTTAGTAAGATCCTGTCTCAATAAATAAATAGATAAATAATAAACAAATGTCTGGGGATGTAAATCAGTGGTAGATCACCTCAAAAAAAAAAAAAAAAAAAAAAGGCTTCCACCCTGTTAGTCTCACAAAGGTTCATTCCCTCAGTAATATTGTTTCTATCTACCTAGTTGCACAGGCAAGAACCCTGGAAGTCACCTGGGTCTCTCTACCTTGTTCCCCAAACATCCAACCCAAAACCCAACTTTGTCCATTGTGGCTTTAAATATCTCTCTACTCCACCTACTTCTCCACATTCTCCATTTGCAGTACCAGAGTTCCAGCCAAAGAATTGCCCTTTGTCTTGAGCACAGTGGGCAGAACATCTGGATTCTACTTCAAGTTCTCACTTCCTTCCCTGGGTCAAGGATGACATCTTCAAAGTGTGGGTACAGGCATGCCCTTTAATCCAGGAAGTATCCTGGTGGCTAGAATTGAGAATGCTGCCTCCTAGTCTTTCCCTCACCCTTTCTCCCAGTTTGGTTTCTCCTGGTGTAGTCTTGCCTCTACAACAGCACAGTTCCAGCCACAGCTCTAACTTAAGTCTCGTGATATCCTCCTTTTCCATAAAATTCTTCAGTGGCTTCAGGAAACTATCTTCAGAAAACTTCTAGATTCTTTAACTTTTCTTGAATGCCCTTCTTGCTCTAGAGCTACCAAACCTTTGCATATGCTGTACTTGTGCCTAGAACACCCTCTTGTCCTCTATCCCCCTTCACCCTGCTGGTCCTTCAGGTCTCAGCTTTTTAGGGAAGTGTCCTTTGAGGGCTATCTCTCCTCGGGGGCTAGTTACCACGGATCTGTGCTTTATATGTACTTCTCACATTTTAGGAATTAACACAACGTTTTGTAATTGTCTGTTTCTTGATTCTCTATCTTACCGGACAGTATCATCATCCACTTGTTTATTTCTTTACTAACTGACAAGTATGTATTGAGTAATTGTTAACCATGTCGTTGTTACGTACATGCATACACGGTCCAGACGCGGACCTTGCCCTTGACACCAAGCAGTGCTTTTTCTTCCCTGGGGTCTCGGGGTCTAACAGAGTTAGGTTTGAACCAGCAAAGGAAGGAACGAAGGAACCCGAGAACCGTGTGCCGTGCAGCCTTCTGGGAATCGTAGTCCCCTGGTACGGGTCTCTCTGTAGAGCGCAGGCGGCGTACTCAGGGTGAGGCTTGTTGCTGCTAACGCGCATGTCCGGGAGGCGGTGTGGGCGAACTGCGCATGTCTGAAGGGAGGGGCCGATGCCGGCTCGACGTCGCGCTGCGGGGGCGGGGCTGCCGTGACTTCTGGCGCTCCAGGAGAGCTCTACCTACCTGTGGGGATGGCGGGGAGAGGGAAATTAATCGCGGTGATTGGTGACGAGGACACGGTGACTGGCTTCCTACTGGGCGGCATAGGGGAGCTTAACAAGAACCGCCATCCTAATTTCCTGGTGGTGGAGAAGGATACAACCATCAATGAGATTGAAGATACTTTCCGGTACGGTACCCTGCGAGGCCGAGCGGGCCCGTCTGCTGCCGGTGCGGGGTCTGGGAGAGGGCGGAGGCGGCCGGGGACCGAGGTGTCAGACCCCGTTGGGAATGTGGGTCACTCCTCCTGGAGCAGAAGCCTCTGCGCCCCAAGTCCTCTTTGGGGACTCGGTATGAGCGGGGCTCTCAGGTCACCGAGTTCCCCCTCACATGACCGTGTGTCAGGAAAGAGGAGGAACAGTTTATGACCTGCCCCTGCCATAGCTGGACGTCTGGACGCCCAGCCGGTGGCGACCGCCAGCCTCAGCGCCTCTTCCGGGGTCTCAGACTTTCACCTAGGGCCTTGCAATGCTTCAACCGTACGCTCGCTGTGAGCCTAGGGAGTGGGCTTGCGCTTTCTTGTAGTCATCTCCCTTTGAGGCTCATAATCGTCCTGTAAGGAAGGGGTTATTCCCACTGGTAAATGAGAAAATTGCAGCTTAGAGAAGTTAAGCACATGCCCAAGGGAACCGCAGAGCTGGAATAGGAACCCAGTGCCCTTTCTGCTTCTCTTAAACCAGTACACACTCTGTGCAATCCTCAGTCTACCTTAGAATTTCCCTTTGTTCTAAGCACAGTGGGCTGAACATCTGGATTCTGCTAGCCATATACTTCAGTCCTCACTTGTGCCTTGGGTCAAGGATGACAACTTCAAAGTGTGGATGCAGGCATGCCCTTTAATCCAGGTGGTGTCCTGGTGGTTAGGATTGAGAAAGCTGGCCTCCTAGTCTTTTGGTCAACCCTTCTCCAGGGCTTCTGTGCCAGAATCAGGAAGAAACCACTCACCTGTTTCCCCTAAACAGCCCAACCCAGAACTGCTGGCTGAGACTGGTTCCTGCTGGCTGGTGTGTAATAGGCCCTGACCTGGGTGGCTGCTGTCTGCTGATCTCTAAGCAGTTTGGTAAAGTGACCCAAGTTGTCATTGGAGGACAAATTTCACTTCAAGAGTTTTACAGCTGGGTATGGGGGCTTACACCTGTAATCCCAGCAACTGGGGAGGCTGAGGCAGGAGGATCTCAAGTTTAGGTCAGCCTTAGCAACTTAGCAAGGCCCTCAGCAACTTAGTGAAATCCTGACTCAAAATTGAAAGGGCTGGGGATGTGGGTTAGTGGTTAAGCACTCCTACATTCAATCCCTGGTACCACCCCCCTAAAAAGAATTTCCCATGTTTCCGGCATAAGAGATCTCAGAGATGGAGTTTAACCTACCCCAGTGCCTAGTCCAGTGTAGGTGCTCAGTAGTTTTTAATGAATAAAAAGGGAATGAATAGATGGATGATCACAATAAAGGAGGGCTGCAGTGGCAAGTTTTATTTTTGGAAAGTGTGATTCCTTCATTGCTGAGTTTCCTATCTGTGTCCTTGGCTCATGCCAGTGTTCCCTCTGACTCATCCCCCACCCTCATCAGTGGGGAACTTTAGGCCTTCAGTGGTCTCATCAGCCCTATTTTTTTTTTTTTTTTTTTGGTGTGGTGCTGGGGTTTGAACCCAGGACGTTGTGCATGCGACCAAGCACTTTACCAACTGAGCTACATCCCCAGCCCTCATCAGCCCTATTTTAAAAAAATAATATTTAAAATGTCTAAATTAAGGAATATCACACCACAGTCCTTGTATCTCTTTGTCTCCCTCCTCCACCCCTATAGATAACCACTTAGTTTCTTCTTTATCTTTCTGGAATCTCTATGCAGATACATATATTCTTATCCTCTCCCTTTCCTATACAAAGGCGGCATATGGAATACACTGGCATCACCCTAATCTTCATTACCAGTTCTCTCTCTGAGCAAGGGAGGTAGAAACCAACCCTGACCAACATGGTCCTGAGCTCTTAAATGAATTGCCTCATTGAAGGAAGGATAGGATTGAGAATGGGTTTAGGGTAGCAGTCTTTCCCTCTTGTCCTCTGTGCCTCCAGGTCACTTTCATTTCCTCACAACCCTGAGTGGGCTGTTGGGTAGGGGAGACAGCAGCCCCCTGGGCTGCCCTGGACTCCCATCTCATCTCTCTCCACAGGCAGTTTCTAAACCGGGACGACATTGGCATCATCCTCATCAACCAGTACATCGCAGAGATGGTGCGGCACGCCCTTGATGCCCACCAGCGCTCCATTCCAGCTGTCCTGGAGATCCCATCCAAGGAGCACCCCTATGATGCTGCCAAGGACTCGATCCTGCGCAGGGCCAAGGGCATGTTCACTGCAGAAGACCTGCGCTAGGGGACTCGCCCCAGCCCTTTAGCCCCTTGCTTGTTGCCAGGCCTCTCCCAGGCTTGCCATCCTTTGTTTCAAGCCTCTAGTTTTCAATTCACACTCCTTTCCCACTCCACTGAGAGGCTGGGTGAGGTATTTGTAGGCTCTGCCATTAAAATCCAGGCTGGTTAGGGAACAGGAAGCCCAACCATCTTCTCTCTCCATTACTTCTTCCCTGTGCTGATGATACACGGTGTCGTTATTGATGTTAAATTAAAACAATATTCTTGCTTCTCTTCATATAGGGTTGGGTGCTGGAAAGAACACATGTAGGGTGAGGCTTCTGGGGGAGATTAGATTGGCAAGGATGGAAAAAGTTCTGCCAAAGAGCCAGGCAGAGGAGTTGGACCTGGATGGAGGCTGTAACGAGGACTAACTTTCTGGATCAAAGAGGACCAGGGAAGGGGGTCTGGGCATGGCTGAGCCTAGTCCCTGGTTCCCCCTGCCTCAGTCTGCATGGGGTGAGGAGGGAGCCTGATCCAAGGGACAGAAGCAGAAAGCACAGGAAACCTGGAAGCCTGTAATTCTAGACTGGGTTTTGATCCTACAGGAGTTTTGGGGTGAAGGTTTTTAACCTTCCAGGTTGCTGGAAGGGAGGCATGTGAGGTCCACTGAGGGCAGGGCAAGTAGAACCCTACCCTGTGTGAGGTGAGGCTTGGTTGCCAAGTGACTGTCCCAGGGAGCCATCTGCTGTCAGAAGAACTCTGCTTGCTGCGTTCACCCCTTAGCTACAGGCACCTTGATACTACTCGTTCCCTTGCGCCATGGCACGGCAGCTCAACTTGGACACAGTGTGGCAAAACTTCTGGAAGGAGGAATATCTAAGGGAAAAGATGTTGCGCTGTGAATGGTACCGCAAGTATGGGTTATTGGTGAGGGCCAAGCAGAAGGCTAAGGCTGCAGCCCGCCTGCCCCTCAAACTGCCCACCCTGACACCCAAGGCCCAAGTGTCACCGCCACCTGTCCCCAAAGCAGTCCCTGCCAAGCCCCCTAGCCCTGTCTCTGAGGCTCCTTTTCAGACAGAAATGTACCCAGTACTGCCTGCAACTCGGGCTCTGCTGTATGAAGGCATCTCCCATGACTCCCAGGGGCGCTATCACTACCTCAACACCCGAAAACTGGACGTGCCAGAGAAGCGCTATCTCTTCCCGGTCACCACCAACTTCACATATGGCTGGCAGCTGGGTGAGCCCCAACCTTGTGGAAATTAATTACAAACAGAGCACTTGCCATGGGCCAGGGAGCAGACATTGTAATGGAGGGTCAGTCTACAAACAACAAGGAAATGTCCAGGGAGGACAAAGTTCTTGGGTGTGGTGGGGGACATGTGTTTCTTTAGATTGAATTATCCAGAAAGGCCTTTCTGAAGCCCTCAATGCTGAGCAAGTGGCAAGAAAGGGGTTCGGATTTTATTCTAATTGGAGGAAGGTTTTAAGAAGATCGTGCTTTTTAAAATTTTTTTTTTTGTAGGTAATAGCTTTTCAGGGGAATTTATAGGATCTGGCAGGTGAATTAGGCATCTGTTTTGAGTTATCTAGGCAAGACATGGCTTCAGATAGAGGGATTATTAGCAGTAGAACTGAAGCCAATTTGGAATGTTTGGGAGGGAGACATGGATGGGTTGACTGGAAGGGAAAGGAAGAGAGAAACTTGGCAACACCCAGATTGGAAAAGGGTAGGGCTGAAGACACAACGGGCTTGGCCATGGTAGGCTCGAAGTGCCAATGAGGCTGGACATCAGGATGGAGGAATATCTGGAAGGAGAAATATGTAAGGGAGAAGATGTTGTGCTGTGAATGGTACCGCAAGTATGGGTTACTTGCGGTACCATTCAGGATGGAGAAAGTCTGGATATCAGGATTGAGGTCAGTGTTGGAGAAGTAAATTCAGGGCTTACTGGAATATAAATGTAACTTAAAGCCCAGAGATAGGGTGAGGTCACCCGGAGAGCTGGAGTTGCTGAAATCTGACTTGAGGGTGGAGTCAGGCATAGGTGGAAATGGTGTGGCCGAAAGGCTGTCTGCTCCCTAACCCCGGCTCAGTTTTGGTTTTCCAAAAGTGCTGCTGGTTTGCTGGGTGGTGTTGAGAGCCACTACTCTCAAGGGAGATCACTTTTTATTTATTCACAAAAAGTAGATCCACTTAGTCCTGGATCTTTTTCCAGCTGTTTGAGTGCCTGTGAAGGAAAGGTGGGTGGTGGGGGGTCAGCACAGTTGAAAGTTTACCCAAAAAGCTCCCACATTTCCCCTAGGGCCCTAAGAGAGAAGAAGGGGAGCAGAGGTGGAAGGCCCTGTCTCTGCAGTCTATCCTGGGACAAACAGGGCTGGCAGGGGATCTTGAAGCAGGGGATGATGATGGCTGACAGCTGTCAGGTTAGCCATGTTGCCACTGATGCAATGTCCAGGATCCAGCCTGTATTTTCCTGAAGTGCTACTCCTCAAAAGCTTTTTATTTATTCACAAAAAGTAGATCCAACACAGGCAGAGTCCTAGTGCTATGCAGACAGCTTCTGTGCTGAGTTCCTTCCCCAGGAACTCATTCCTGGCCTCTGACATCTTTTCCCAAGGTACCCCAGCAAAGCAAGAACTGGTCTCCTGCAAGATGTGCCACATAGAGTCGTTCTTCCGGAAGAATGGGGCCTTTTCAATGCTGGATCCCCGGGATCTGGCCCTCTGACCTTTGGCCTGTGGGAGGCACAAAAAAATAACAGGCCTCCTGGTAGGGCGAAGCTGCGTTGTGTTTCTGGTCTGCTCTCCCTGGCCCTGAAGCTGTGTTCTAGGCCTTTCTGACCTGGCGGTAGACGTCTTTGCCTTTTCCTTAACTCCTATCTCCTTAATTATCCCTTCAGAGACCCAGCAATGCCCAGAGCCCATCGGGAAGTGTGGGCGCTATTCACCAGGTGCAGGCTTCTCAGCGCCAGGGGGCCACAGTAGCTCCTGGAAGTTCCGGGTATTCCTGGGGAGGCAGTGGTCTGTCATCCAGATGTCAGGGAAAAGGGACTGCTATCACTCCCCACAAAGCTCCCTGCCCGCCCCTCACCTGGCCCTGAGCGCCCGCAGCCACCGGGTCCTTTCCAGGTGCACTTGTTCTAGCTGCTTCTGCAGGGCGCTCCACCGCCCGGCCACGTCCTCCTAGGTAGGCAGATGGTTGAGCCGGCGTCACTGGCCAGGGTAGCAACTGCATCACACACCCGCCCCGCCCCGCCCCGCCCCGCCCCTCCCGGGGCCAGGTCCGGAGGGACCCCCGCCTTCACCCCGGGCCCTTCTTGCCTGTGGTGGGAGCTGAGCCGGGCTGGAAGGGAGCCCCAGAGGGTGAACTCGGCAGTGGCGGTGGCTGGCGATGCGGAGCCGTTCCAAGACCTGGAGAGGCGGCAGTCAGCTCCGAGCCCTGCCCGCCCGCCAGCCGCAGGAGACTAGGTCGGCCCCGCGCGGGTACGCACCCGGAGCCGCTGCTGCTCGCGTTCCTGCCGCCGTCGCCGCCTGGCCGCGCCGTGCAGCTCCAGCAGCCGCTGCAGAGCCATCTCCTGCTGCGCCACGCTCACGCCCGCCGGTGCCTTTTCCCCGCCCAGGGGCGCAGGCCACGCAGCCCTCGAAGCTTTGGGTTCCCCAGGAACGCCCCTAAGCTCCCGGAGCGCGCCCGGGAGCTTCACCTCACCCACCTCCTGCTCCGCGGGACGGTGGCCGCCTCCTTGGGTAGCCTGCTGCCCACAGCCCTCGGTGCTTAGTGCCGCCAGCATCCCACCTCCTGGGCCTGTGAGTTGTGGTCGGGACAGGGACCTGGGGGCCAGGAGAGGAGCCCACGCCCCATCCTGGGCGGCCCCCGGCTTTATCACGGCCTCATCCGCCTTCTGACTCCGGCCTTCGTGCTTGGCCAGCATTCGCTGGGTGGTTTTTCCCCAGCGACCTGGACTCTCCCTTTCCCGAGCCCGTACAGGCGCTTCTCCCTGAGTCACCTCCCATGCTTGTGAGAGAGGGGCTTCCCAAGATTGAAGGGTTTTCATTTCCTGACCCTGCCCAATCTCCTTTCTCTGGCACTTAGGGCTATTTTTTCCTTGAGGAATCTCTTTGTTCTCATCCTGGGGTGCCTCCCCACTCTGACCCTGGAATGTCTTCTCTCTCTGACTCTGAGATACTTCTCTGTTCCCCCACTGGGAGGTGTTCCCTCGCTGACCCTGAGGGGTCTTTTCTGTCTGGCCCATAGGGTGGTCCTGTCTCTGACTCTGAAGAGGGTCCAAACTCAGCAGTTTCTGAGTTTCTCTCTCCTGACCTAGGCCAGAGCCCAGCCCCTGTGGGGTATTTTGGGGTGCTGGCAGGCACTGTAAGGCCAGGACAGAGGGCTCTGAAGCTTTCTGTGTCAGCTTTCTCCCTGGCCAGCTCTGTAGGTGGGGCCTCTGCATCGCTGGTGCTGGCTCCTCTTGGCTCCTGTCTTCCCTCTGGGCCAGATCCTGGGAACGAAAAGCACTTTGGGCCCAGGCTTGAGAGGGAATCCCCAAGCCAGGGCCCTTCCCCTAGAAGAGCCTGGAGACCCCAGTGACTAGTCCTTGCCTGATTGCTGAATTTACTAAACCTCTTTTATGTGGTGTAAGAGGTGCTCCAGCAATGATCCCTTTTCCCATTTGGCTGCAGGAGGCAGCCCCACTTCATCCCGCAGCCTCCTCCCTGGCAAGCTCCATTCCTGCTGTCCCAACCTGAGAGGGTCCTGGTCCAGAGTCCCCAGAGCTAGTGGTAGTAGGGTTCAGCTCTTTTAAGTGACCTAAGAGAGAAGGATCAATGTTGAGAGAGCACTCCCTGATCATGTCCCAGCTTCTCACACACATTCCCCCCTGAACTGTAATCTGGAAGCCTAAGGGGCTCCCAGTGCATGAAGGACCATGGAGCCCTGAGAGTGCTGCTTGAACTTCATGGCTGTCACAGTTTATTATTCCACGTTTATTCCCATCACCTGCCTTGCATCTGCTTGTCAGGTGTGTCTGCCAACAGCCAACTCCATCTCCCTCATCCTCCCAGCCAAGGCTGGCCACTATGCAATGCCTGGGAGTGAGAAAGGCCTGTTTGCTGGGGCTCCCTCTGCATAAGGATATCCCCATTTTGTCCTGGTGTGTGTGTTCAGGTTCACAGAAGAAACCCGCTGTGTGTGCCATGCTTTTTCCTGTTGTTAAAATCCTCCTTAGCCCCTCCCCCCCATTTTTTTTCTTTCTGGCAACAAAATCAAATGAAACTTAAGTAAAATTTTAAGCCAGAGCCTGGCCTAAAAAACTGCAAGTCTTCATAATGAACAAAGAAATCTAAAAAAGGGATGTGCTGTCACTGCTCCTGCAGCTGTGGAGGAAGGAGAGATGTTCTGCATCCATAAAACTAATTGAAGGAACCTGCTTTCATAAGTATTAAAAACCTTTCACAAGAATATTGCAGTTTTCTCTGGTAAGCAATGCAGAGACCTGTGAATATTCATAACAGTAACCAAAGGGGTGTGGTTTCTGTGGAACTAGATCTGAATTTCAAAGGGTTTTGTGAACAAAGGAGTCTCAGGAGAGACTCCAGCAACTTCTGATTGCTGCAGAACTGTGAAAGCAGCCTCCTACACCTGTCTCTGAGATACTCACCTGTTGTATTCCTAGAGTTTATTTCCCAGGTAATAGTGTAAATTGACATCTCTGTCTTCCCAAGAGATAAAATACTTGTAAAAATTTATCTGTCAATCAGGAGAGAATCATTGGCAGTTCTCTTCTTTCATGTGTGTGATGGGACAACTAAAAGTTTATGACTTTGCTAGGTTTATTGTTTAACAAATAATTTGAGTCTGTTTCCTTTAAATTAACAGGCTCATACCCATAGAGTCCATCCCATTGAATTCTAATTGCCTGTTTAGTGTCATGCTCTATCACTGGGCTTTGATCTCAAAGACTCAAGATATCTATTGTTCTCCATATGTCCCCAGTGCCTGGTGTAAGGGTGGCAAACAGGTGGCCTAGAATTGCTGTTCCACTTCCTTCTCCCTGGGCAGTCAGTGATGGTCATTTCCTGTCCACTTAACAGAGCCCCAGTTTAGCTTAAAAATCTTAATGGGCACAGCATCTGAGACAACTGGTGCCAGTCATGGAATTGGCACATAAAATTGACTCGCCATCCCTGGGCACCAAATGAAAGGTGCAAGATGCAGAATAAGTGAAAAATGATGGAAGTCTTTGGACTTGGGATGAGAACTTCTCTGCCTCCCAATCTAATCTGGTTTCTCCAACTTCAGGGGCTCCCTACTATCTTGGCTGCCCATCACGTCCTGTCAACATACCAGGTGTGGCCTCTGTAGGTATGCCAGGGCCCTCCCATCTTGGGTCTGCATCTCTCCCAGCTTCACCCAGATCCGCTGTCTGCATCCTGCAGGATTCAGGGGCTACCTCAGAGGCACCTCCAGCAGCCCCATAGGTGCTGGAGAAAGGAGGGAGCTTGCTTCAGTCTTCCTAGTCCCCAACACCCCAACACCCAAACTCTGAGTCCGGGGTGGCCTCCTCTAATCCCTAAACCCACTGGATTTTGGAACTGGAATTCTGAGGTTACCCTTCTAGGGGCTGTAGAGCAGGACTGTGGGAGGAGACAGGGGGAAAAGGCCAGGTTCTTGGTCACTTTGTATGTCAACAAGGGAGTGCCAGAGTCCCTGGGAGAAAGACTTACCCCTCTGGGAACTGATGGTTTTGGCTCAGGGAATCCCTAGTTTGGGATGAAGGCCACAGCCTGGAACTCTGGAAAATTTTGGGGGAACTCAGGACACAGGGCATCATCCTTTAGTGTGGTAGTCAGCCTCTAAGATGCTCCCTGCCCCCCATAATCCTTGTCTCCTGGTGTTCATGAAGTGGACACATAAGTGGCCTTGTGTGTCCCCTCTCCCTTCCCATCCACTGCAGAGAGGCTCCCAACAGGCCCAAAGCTACTCTGGCAGCTGGTGGCTGAGCTGGGACTGGGAAGTACATCCCCAGTTCTTAGCTCTGTTCTGGGGTCCTCACCACAACATCCCCCTCCTGGTGGGTCAGCACAGCTCTAGCCCTGGAGGGAGCCCCCCACTCAGTAGGGGCTGCTCAGTGTCTTTGTCTTAGTGCCACCCTAGACACCAGTGCCTCTGCTCTCAGGGACCCTTCCAGGCACAGTTCTCCCTCACACAGTCACATGGACAGGCTTCCCAGTGTCACTGCACAGTTGATTTGACAATCCAGTAGTTAGCTATGGAATAACACTAGTCCCCATAAGTAGCAAGAGGCTCAAACCCCTTGTTTGGATGAGTTCACTGGTCCTCAGAGAAAGATCTGCCATTGTCCACATTTTACAGCCAATGGAGGCTCACAGTCCACAGGGAGCATCAGAGCAGAGCTCTGAATCCAGGGCTGTTAGTCTCTAAAGCTCAAGCATCTTGGTGACCTTGAGGGGGTCACACCACAACCACCCCAATGTCACACAGTGTCTCTCTCCACTCACCAGCTGCTCAAAGTCCCTGCCAATCCTGCTACTCACCTGGCTGTGCTGGCTCCATGCACGCTGGGCCTGGTCCCTCCAACCACCAAACTGGGTCCAAGGGGCCCTGAAGAGGCCCAGCCCTGCTCCAGTCAGCAGATCCAATTCCCAGAGGAGCTGCAGGAAGGTGGAGAGCCAGAGTGTGAGGGGCACCCAGCCAGCCCTCCCCCACCCCCATGGTCAGCCCCTACCTGCTCCTGGGCCCACCGGCTCCGCTCCATCTCCAGCAGTACTGTGGTTAGCTCCATCCCTGGGGGACAGCCCTGGCCCTCTTGCACCTGGTGGGGATGGGAGGGGAAGTAGAATCAGGCTCCTGCCTGCACCCCTTGGCAATATCTGGCTTCCTCACCTGCCAAAGTGCAGTCCGGAGCTGGCCTAGGCCTGCAGGGTGCCTGAAGATGAGGTAGTACAGGGCCAAGGCCTGCTTGGGACTACAAGGGAGCCCTGGGCTCCCAGGTATAGCTGCCTGCGCCATGGGAAAGGGGTTAGGGCAGATGCCCCCTCCTTCCTCTGCCTCTGCCATCAGAGCCTGGAGAGAGATGGAGGATTGGGCACTGAGGACCAGGAGCAAGGAGAAACAAAGACTCCGATCTCAATAATTCAGGGCCGACTGACACCTGAGCAGGGCCTGGGGCATAGGAGCCTTACCGAGACTCTGGCTTGACTCCAAGACCACCTGGAGGTAGCAGAGTGCAGTGCAGAGAGTGACCCTGACAGGAAGAGGTGTGTGCATTTGCTCATTTGCAACCCCCAGTGAGTATCAGGCTCATATATACAAGTTAACATCCACGTGAACTTTCAAACTGTGATATGTGGTACAAATGTGTTTAGGATGGGGCAGCGGTGGCAGCACATGTGGATATACCTCCTCAGCAGCTCCATGAGTAGGTGCTATTGTCCCAATTTACAGATAAGAAGCTCTGAATCCAGGGCTGCACAGTGGCACATGCTTATAATCCCAGCTACTTGGGAGGCTGAAACAGGAGGATAGTAAAATGGAGGCCATCATCAACAACTTAGTGAGATCTTGTCTCAAAAACAAAAAAGAGCTGGGATATGTGGTTCAGTGGAAGAGTGCCCCTGGGTACAGTGATCCCCAGTACTGGGGTGAAAGGGAAACTGGCTTTAGAGAGTAACTTGATTTAACACGTGGTAGTGTTTCCCCTATCTGTGAAGACAGACAACCACAGTGACAAACACTCTGGGAGCACATGGCTCCCAGGAGGCAAGGCATCCATCACCAAGAGGTGTGACAGTAAGAGGCAGAAAAATGGCCCATCATCACCTGCTAAGTGCTGTCCACAGGCCACCCCATGGACTCCTCCCAACATGCACACACACACACACACACACACACACATTGCTGTCCTCATGTTACAGATGAGGAAACCATTTGTATAAGTTATAATGAGAGGAACTGAATGTAGGAGGCCATCTGGGCTAAAGCTGGGATGTTGAATGTTCCCTAAAGGCCTATGTATACAAGGCTCAGTCGCCAGGATCACTAGTGGGAGGTGCTGTGGACCTTTAGGAGGTGGGGCCTCCTGGGAGGGCCTTAGTTGTACCTTTGATGGGGTTGGGGGAATTCTGCTTCCTCCGGTTTCCCAGCTCACGTTGGGAGGGACCAGGCCCAGTGTGCAGTTGGCTCTGACACACATTCCCCACCATTTAGATCCAGTGCTCTTACCAGAAGCTCAAAACATGGGGTCACCGATTTCAGATGTGAACCCCCAGAACAATGTGCCAAAATAATTTTTTTTCCAGTAGTGGGCATTGAACCTGGGGTTCTACCATCAAGCTACATCCCCAGCACTTTTTATGTTTTATTTTGAGACAGGACTTCACTAAGTTGCTGATTCTGGCCTTGAACTTGTGATCCTCCTGACTCAGCCTCCTAAGTAGCTGGAATTGGAGGTATGAAACATTGTGTCTGGCAACCTTTTCTCTTTTTAATTGCTCATGTATTCATTGTAGTAATAGAAAGGTGACTAATACAGTCTGGAATCCTTTACATCCTTTCCATCTTAAGTAACTTCACCTGACTGAATCCTTGTCACTGCTCCGGGAGTGAATGGAGCAAACTCTCCTCTCTGGGTCTCAGAACAGCTTTCCCTGGAGAAGGCTGAGCTGGCAGAGAAGGTGACCTCCAATTTCAACTCAGTGCTCTTTTACTTAAGTAAACAATAAGGGACTGGGCTGTGTCCTTCTCTAGATCACTGAGCCCTCACTCCCCACTAGAACATTAGAGACCTAAAATGACAATGGAGTTCCCTTGATCTTACATCCAGGGACCCTAAACTCCAAGGTCCCCAGCAGTACATGGCAAAGAGAGCTCAAATTCTGACTTTGTCAGTTGTTTCTTGATAATTGGGGATTGACCCCAGGGATGCTCTGCTGCTGGGCTACATCCCTAGCCCTTTTCATTTTGAGGCAGGTTCTTACTAAGTTGCCCAGGTCAGCCTTGAACTTGCAATTCTCCTGCCTCAGCCTCACCAATAGCTGGAATTAGGGAGGTGTGCTAGGTTTCTGTTCACGACTAAAAGGTTCAGGGGTCACTTCAGGTAAACTGGGCTAACTGTGTTGTGCAAAATAACCACACTAGAGACACAAATACCTTTTTCTTTGGGGTTGCTGTGACAGCTCCTCTGACCTTAAGGGTCCTCAGGAAGAGAGAGAGAGCATGCGCTGACCCTTTTTATTGAGGAGAGGCTATTCAAATGAGGCAAGGAGTCAGGTTTCAGGGGGCTGAGTCTATCTTCATGATGTCCACTGTCAGCAGGTTGACTGACATCTGGGTAGGCCACACTCAAGGGCACAGTAAGAGAAGGGGACACACACAAGGCACTTCCATGGAATATTCTATCCTAAACAGGGCAAGGGGTTATATTACAAAGGATCAGGTGAGCATAGCTTCACCCATGGGGCTGTAGGAAGCCACGCCCAGGCATGAAGACACAGTCGCTCCAACCCTAGAAGAGCGGGGCAGTCTAGCAGCATGGGTGCCTGACACCATATCGCCCAGCAGGGGAGTTAACTCAGTCACATGTGAGGTTGGTCCCCTACAGAGGTGCACTAACATGTCTGGTGATCTTGTTCATTTCAAAAGCCCCTATGATGTTCTCCCCTTATGATGAGTCTTCCCAAGTGTGCATGCACACTTTACGTGTGTTTCTAAAGAGTGTTCGTGTGCATGCATGCACATGTATCTGTATTTCATCACAGCCTATCATCTCTTCTCCTCAGGCATGGAGTTCCAGTGCCATCAGTTCTTAAAGTGACCCAGAAGGTACCTGAGCATTTGGTACTGCCATAGACTAAGCATAGGGCAAGGACCAGGGCACCTGGGTCCTCCTGCACACTTTTAGGTTCCCCAGACAGCACCAAGCAATGGCCAGTTGAAGCAGCCCAGGGATACTAGTGTGAGGACTATGCAAAACCCTCTGACTTGAAGGACACTGACCACTGAGCCCCATGTTCCAAGCAGCCCAGCTGCCTCCCCAGCACCAGGAGGAAACACAACAAGGAAGTCTTGGGAAGGCCCAGAATTTATTGTTTTTCAATACTAACAGGGGCTTTGCAGGACACGGGTCCAGGCTCCCCATATCCGACCAGGGCGTTGTCTCCACAGCTCTGGCCAGGGTGGCTGCTGCTCACCAAGGGGAGACCTTAGGCCTGATGAGTCCTGGTCTGTTATCTTCCTGACTCAAGGTGAAGCAAGGAGCTGCTCCCAACTGGGGCTGGGCAGAGTGCTGGGTGGCTGGTCCCCGGTGAGCAGGACTGGGGGGCAGGCCTCAGGAGGGATACAGTGGGCCTCATGCTCCACCAGGCCTGCAGGGCACTGGCAGCCAGGAACACAGGGCCTCACACAGTGGGCTTCCAGGTCTCCAAGGGGAACATGCTGGTTGAAGCAGGTGCGGGGACAGGGTGGGCCACACTCATCAAACACAAATCCACGGTCCAGGGGGCAGCCCATCACTGCAGGCAGAGTGGAAAGCAGGGTCACAGGGATCCCCAACACTGCTTCAGTTGTATGCCCCCTCCTTGCTGGCCTCTAAGTATCGACCCCATCTGGGCTGAGCTTTGGGCTACCCTTCTTTGCACTGTCCCCTCTCCCAATGCTGGGCATCACCCCCTCACCACAGAGTGTAGGGCCCCGCCAGGCAGGTGTCACCCCTGCCTGGCGACAGTGGCTGGCATAGGCTTCCAAAACGTCACAGAGGCAGGTGTCAGCTGAGGAGCCAGGGCCACAGGCACATAGGTCATACACACAGGCAGCAAAGAAGGGCTCCGGTGGCACCACAGCATGGCAGCGATGGAATGGGGAGGACCTCAGCAGCCCACACCGGGCATTGGCCTCACGCCTGGCACGGTAACCTGCTGCCCGGCATGGATCCACTTCCTGGCCTGCAGAACAAGGCCGGCCAGGCCTTGGCCCCTCTGGAACCTAGGTGGGGAGAACAACCTTGAGGTGAGCCTTGATCTTTGCATGTGGGGCCTTTGAAGCTCTTCCCAGACAGTCATTTGTTTTAACCTCAAAAATCTCCAATAAAAGCAAAGGAAGCACTGTTTACCTTCTCCTTGACCTCATATTACAGATGAAAGACCAAGGCCCACAGTAAGTGAGCAACTTTTTCAAGGTCAGCCTTTCACAGGTTCTGGCTCCTGTGCCACTCACCTGCCAGCTGTTCCCAAATGCAGCTTCTGTAGGCAGGAGCAGCCCATCAGGGCCCTGCAGATCATCCTGGGCAAAGCCATTGAAGTTCCCACAAAGTCCACAAGTCTGGCCCCGGTAGGAGCCTGGCACGCTCACCTCCACCTGGGACTGCCCATCCCACAGTACCTGTGCAGAGAGGCCTGGGACTGGGAAATGGGGAAGGAGAAGGACCCCCAAAAGCCCAGGTTCATCATGGTCCCATGCACTGAGCTGGCACACCCTGTGCAATAGCAGAGGAAGATAAACAAGTGCAGACTCCCCATGGAGAGGATGTTGCCTTGGCCTGGGCCAAGTTGGCACATGTGGTGCATCCCAGGGCAAACACGACAGGAAGTGCTGCCATGGCTTCCATCTGTATCCCTAAACTGGGCCCAAGGTGGAATGCAGCCTACTTCCAAAGATTCGCAGTCTCCTGGGCACTCGGGCCTTACACAAGACAGAGCACAATTGAGTCTGGATCAGAAGTGCACACAGCTTGATTTTAAGAATTTATAAGCTGTGCTTCTGGCCAGGGGCAGGGAACAAGTTTCTCTTCCACATAGGAATCAGGAGGAACCTCAGATACCTCCTAGGAGACCTTGGTTGACATCCTCCCGACCCCTAGGAACCCCATTCTCACACTTGAGAAAACTGAGGTACAGAGAAGGTTGGTAGTAGCTCAAGAGCCCCAGTGTAGTAGTGGCTGAGCCAAGATTAAAACTAGGCGCTGAACTCCTCTGGCTGCCCCCAGAGGTCTCTGTGCCCGATTTCTTTCCTGGGAATCCAGCAGAACTCTCCCACCTCCACTACCTCATTAGGTCCAGGATGTAAGGGCACTCCCACTCCCTCTACAGATACAGAAACTTTAACAGGCCCAAGACTCCCCAGCCCTGGGTTTGGAAGCAGAGCCCCAACCAGCTTTCTCCCTTTTGCCACACCTTGAGCCCAGGCTGGGTGTGCAGGATCACAGAGCGTCCCCACAGCTCCACATACAGCAGAGGCTCCTGCAGGAAGGGCAAGGCCACTGGGCTGCCATCCACCTGTAGAAAAGGCCAAAGTGGAATAGAGAGGTGCACCGCACAGGTCCAGCTTACCCTGGGTCTTCTGCTCACCATGACTGTCTTGCCGTGCAGCAGCTGCACAACCACATCTCCCAACAGCACTGCCACCTCTTGGGTCCAGGCCACACCTCTCCGGCCCCGGTCATTGTTGGTCACATGCACACTATGGGGAAAAAAGGTCAGTGTGACAAAGTTCAGCTAGGTCGTGTGTAGGGGTAAAGGGAAGGGAGAGGAGGTGCGCACCTGAAGTCCCCGCCATGGCAGTCTTTGGCCAGCACATAGCTGCAGCTGCCCTGGAAGTGCAGCAGGCGGCCGTCGAAGGTGCGGTAGTGGGGGTCTCCGAAGGCCATGCAGGAAGCGGGCCGGGGTAGGCAGCGAGGGCAGCAACTGCCAGGACTCAGGGCAGGGGCCTCGTCCTGGCCTCAGCCCCAGACACCGTCAGACCCGGGGAGCTCCAGCCCACGCTCTGGGAGGCCACCCCATGGCCCAGCCTCTCTCACGCCTGCTCCCGCGCTCACTGCGAGCGGACTCAGGGCACCACCTGGTGGCCACTCCAGGAACAGCACCTTCCCTCCTACCCGTCGGCTCCCAGACCCAGTGAAAACTCAGCCCCCCAGTCTCCACCCCTGTCGCCCTAGGATGGCAGTGCCAGGTGCAACCTTGCCTCCACTGCCTCAACCGCAGCACTCACCTGGCCACAAGAAAGCGGTGGACAGCGCTGGCTCTGGCAGCGCACAGTGCCAGCCACGCAAGAGCAGCTGGTGCAGGTGTCCACTGCCCAGTGCTCCCCGACAGCCACCTGACGGCCCTGGTGGACACACGACTGGGTGGGAGCTGAAGGGACAAGAGACACGATGGGTTGGCACCTCCTCCATACATGCGCCAGGTCTCTCTTCCCCCTCCCCATCGTTCTGGCCCCTCACCTTGGCATTGCTCACAGCAGCTGCCAGTCTTGGGCACTTTCAGCCAGCCATGGGGACAGGAAAGGGCCTGGCACTCCTCGAGGTGACATTCCACATGACCCCGCTGCAGACAACATCCTTGCTGTAGGCATTTTCTGCAAGACCTGGAGTCCCTGGCCTCACATTTCTGGGGGCCTCCTAGGCAGCAGCCCCTTCTGGCTGCCTACCTCTACCCCACAAGAACACCCATACTGTGATCCAAGCAGGGAATAAAATCCAGCCCTCAACTCCTTACCCCAGCACAGAGATGCCTCAGCCCCTCAAAGACCCCATATTTGCTGATGGATGCCCTGCGCTCTTCTCTGGGTCTATCTATATGGACCACCCCTCCCCCACCACATCTTCTCCCAGGTTACTTGGCAGGTGCAAGCAATGCAGGCGTTGCTGGGGTCCCGCCAGCTCTCTCCATCGGCCACTCTCCGGCCACTGGCCTCTACCACACATTCTAAGGAGAAATGAATGGGAGCCATCCAGCTGTGCCCTCCCTCCCTGGAGCTCACTCTGAGCATCTGGGTAGGGAAGTGCCCACCCGATTCTACCAGCACCTTGGTGGTGCTGATTTCCTCAATCAATATGCAGAAAGCTGGATGTCATTAGGGCCAGAGGCCCAAACGGCCAGAGCCTGGAACCCTTTTCTGGACCAGCTGCTAGATCCACAGTGCAGTGTCCTGTTAGTGACCTGAGGTTCCTGAGATCTTGGAAAAGCCTCAGGCCAGGACTTGAGAATCCAGACTTCATCCCCCACCTCCCTCTGCCTCATGGGTCTCTTCTCCACCCCAACATATAGCCTCTCCATTTCTACAACAGAATAAAACCTGAGTGCAGACCCCAAGCCACCTCCTGAATGTCGCCACCTCCCATGTCTCTCCTGGGATCCTTTCTGAGGGTGAGGCCAAGGTTGGTCACTTACCCTGGCACACAGGGCAGCAGCTCCCTGGGGGAATATGATGCTCCAACAGGGGACAGCTGAGCTGAGGACAGGCCCGGTGAGTGCAGAGCCATGTCAGGTCCTGTTCATTGTCATGTGAACACAGTGGGTAGAGCACAGCAGAGTTGGCAGGACATAGTTACGAGTAGGATGTGGGTGAGATGTGACATTCAGGACAAATGGGCAAAGTTCAGGTGAGCCCTCAGACCACAGAGGAGGATGGGATTCTGAGCCCCTAGGGCAGGAGGCCTCACCTGGCACTGGCAGGTGTAGCAGGGGTCTAGTGGGGCCAGCTCAGAGCCCAGCAGGCCCTCTGTGCAGTTACTCAGCGCCTCTGTGAAGACAAGACCCAGTAGGGGGATGAAAGGGTCGGGGGCAGGGACTGCTACCCTAGCTTTCTCCAGAGTTCTTGGGCCCAACGTGTACTTACTAGCATTTTGACTCCAGGGAGGATAAATGTGATTTCCTTTAGCTCAGCAAAGAAAAGTTTGGTCTTTCTAAAGGAATTTTGCCAGGTATCAAGATGGGAACCCTGAAAACTGATAGTATGACTCCTTCAGCCTGAGGTCACTAGGAACAGCCAGACTTCTGGACTTGCTCTCTGTTACTTCCTTTTATATAATTTGGCTCAAACAGAATAACAACCATAAAGAGCCAGACTTCCCAGGTTCTATTCCTGTCTCCAGCACTCAATTCCTGTGCCATTTTCAGGCAAATTAATCAACCTCTCAAGGCCTCAGTTTCTTCATCTGTAAAAAGGCAATTGTGAAAATTAAATGAAATAGTGTTCATTAGAAGCCCTATGTGCAGTGTGTGGCATGCATTAGGTGCTTAACAAATGATCCTTCTTCTAATCTCCGGAAGTATTATCCACTTCTAACTCTAGCAAGTATTTTAAGAATAGTTCTCCCTGATGGATGGTGGTGATAGGTGCATAATTATGAATATTTTTAACATCACTGAACTATACACTTAAATATAGTTAAGGTAGTAAATTATACATTATATGTATTTTGCCACAATAAGAAATTATAAAAAAGGGAGGAGAATGTGGTCCTCATCCTATAAAGCACATTTTATATATGTGGGATCACATTAGCCTGCCTTGCAAAGCTAGGTTATCATTTCAAAGCTGGTATACTAACAGATGCTGAAAAAATATTGCTTTCACAACAAATATGTAATGGCTGTGTCAGGTAAACTGCAAGGATTAAATCCAGGAAATAAATCCAAGAAATAATTTGACTGTCTTTCTTTTGGGGGTGGTACTGGGGATTAAATCCAGGAGTGCTCTCTGCCAAACTACATCTCCAGCCCTTTTTACTTTTTATTTTGAGACAGGATCTAACTAAATTGCTGAGGGTCTCACTAAATTTCTGAGGTTGGCCTCAAACTTGTGATCCTCCTGTCTCAGCCTCCTGAGTTGCTGAGATTATAGGTATGTACCACTGCACCAGACCAATTTGACTATCTTTTTGTATTTGAATGAATAACATTTCTTTATTCTTCCTCCCAATATTTATAAGTCATTATTCCAAAAAGAAAGACAAGGAGGGAGGGACAGACAGAACAGAAAACAGAATAGCTCCCTCCACCCCTGAGACTGACCATTCAATGTCCCTGCTGGTCCTCACCTCACAACCTGCAAGGAGTCAGCAACTAGCCCAACTGCCACCCTGCAGCGCCACCTGCTGGGCAAGAAGCTGTACTAATTGCACTCCACTTGAGAGCTGCAAGGGGCCATAGCCAGCTTCCCTCTCTCCCCTTGGGGCTGTGCAGACCACACGCGCCAGTGCAAGGCTTACAGAACAGTCCCCTGGAGCCAGGAAAGGGTGGGAAGGGGCAGGGGAGGAGAGCTGGCTAGCTGTTCCAGCATCAACGTGGGGTGGCTGCACTTCCCTCATCTACTTCCGTCTCCCGGGACTCACGGGCACAGGTGGGGCAGCAGTGCTGGGCATCAGGGGGCAGAAGCTGGCTAGGTGGGCAGCCCAGCAGGCTGGGACACTGCCGCCGGCGACAGTGAAGGCTGGGAGGCCCCTCAGGCTGTGACTACAACAAGAATGAATGAGCCGGAAGTGGGTCCCAGGCCATGAAAGTCAAGAGCCACCCCCTTCCCTGGTCTCCGGGTACCCCATCTGCTTGCTGTGCCATTCTCCAGGCTGTGGGTGGCCCAATCTGAAGAGAGTGTCTCCCTAAACTAGCCCCCTCACCCGTGTCCTAATTCCCAGAGGTGATGTCCCTTCCCCTTTTCAGTCACTTGGGCCTGAACCCTCATGTGACTTTTGACCTTCTGTCCTCTCATGCCACCCCCTCCCCATCTCTACTTCCTCTCTCCTGATCTATGACATCATTCACCTTCCACAGCTCACCATTACCTTTCGATGCATTTGCACTCCAGTTGGCCCTTCCGCGCCCTCTACCCCCCCACCCCACAGTCTGTCCAGGAGCGCTTGCGCACTGCTCACTCCACACTCGGGCCCTGCGCCCTGTGTCTCGACCCAAACTTCTGGTCCCACTGGCCCAAACCCTGCCTCAGCTCCTGGCCTCAGGGTCACACTCCTGTCTTGGACTCCCATGGTGCCTGCTCCATGCAATATCCAGCTTGGCTGGGCCTCCCCAGGATGCCCCCAGCCCTCAGCTCCACCCGTCCTACCTCACAGATGCACAATTCGCAGGGGTCAGCCCCTGGCTGGAAGCTCTCCCCAGGCTCATACTTCCGACCGTCATGCACACAGTCTTGGGGGTGGGGTAAGAGAGAGCAGGGAGTTTTCAGGCTGGCATCATGCCAGGATGGGGTTATCCTCCCTCCAGGTCCCCCTCACCAGGAACTGGGGTGAATGTAAGTAGGGAACCACTTCTCCTGGAGCCACCCCCTCTGCTGCCCAGTCCAGCACACAGGGAGGTATGACCACCATGATCCCTCCCTGTCCCAGGCTCCTAGTACCAGAGCAACGAGGGCAGCAGTCAGTGGGCCCCCGGTGGGGCTGGGCGCAGGAGCTGACACACTGGACACTGGCACAAGTGACGATACCCTCATGACACATGCAGGAGGAGCAGGGGCTGTTGGGGGGCACCCAGCTACTGCCTTCAGGGTGCTCCTCCCCGTGAGCGAGGCAGCCTGCAGTCCCAGGTGGACAGGAATAAGCTTTGAGTCTGAGATCTGAACATCTGCCCCTGTCTACCACCCCTGTGGTCCCCAGGGCATGTGGGCACTAGGAAGGGGTCTACAGGGATGTAGCAGGGAGATGCACAGGGGCAGAATTCCCATCTGTGTGGAGGGGTCAGAGCACCTGGGTTCTAATCCTGTTCTGTTTCTGCTTGCTAGAACAAGCTGCAAGCAGCAGGCACTGTCTAGCATGGGCAGCACTGGCATACAGCAGGTGGGTAATATATGCATTTGGAATGAATGAACAGCTCTGTCAATGACCATGTGCCTCAGGTAACTCCAGGCCTCGGTCTCCCCTATATTAAATGGGATTGCACCTGTCCTGCCGTCCTGTCCTCTGGGGGCAAGTGGGGCTGCTGTGCTGGCTTTGTGTGAACTACACCATGCTGAGCAGTGTCTGGGTGAGGGGCAGCAGGCAAGCTAAGAAAGGCTCATGTTCCTAGCTAGGATGTGTATCTCGACTCTGCTACCTACTCACCCCAGTGACCATAGGCAAGTGTGTTAGCTCTGTATACTCCTATTTTCTTTCTTTCTTTCTGGGGATTGAACCCAGGGCCTTGCGCATGTGAGGCAAGCACTCTACCAACTGAGCTATATCCCCAGCTCTGTACCTCTGTTTTCTTGTCTGTAAAATAGATGTAATGACAGCACTTATCTGGGAAGATTCTGAGGAAATGAGACAATAGTAGTAAAGTGCTTGGCACATGGTAAAGAGCCTGGCACATGGTACATGCTCAATAAATGTCAATTATCATGATTATTATTATGAATGGGGTGTGGTTAGGAAGAGGGGCAGCTTCAGGGAAATCTAATGAGCACCTGGAAGGGTAGTCTGGGCAGGGAGAGGGAGGAAGAGCTGAGGTGGACTAGGATGACAGTCAAGGGCAGAGGCAAGAGAGGGACAGAAGGTGGACAGGGAGGTGGGAAGGCAGCAGAAGAGCTGAGGGCAGAGTGGGGGGCAGATGGAGGGATACAGGGTGAGGGGCTGAAACGTGGGGCAGCCCCGAGGGCCAGGCATACCTCTGCAGCGAGGGCAGCAGCTCCCTGGCTCTGTGACCTGTAACAGGCAGGGCAGGGGTGGGCACCGCAGCCGCACACAGCTGACCTGGCCAGCCTGCAGGAGATGCAGAATCAGAGGTTTGCCACCAAGACCTGGAGGCGCGGTGGCCCAGCCTCGCCCAGCAGGGATCCCAAATCCCTGCTGTACCTGACAGCGACACTGCTCACAGCTGCCTGAAGGCCCCTCAAACTCCTCCCCATCCTGGTACTCCTGGCCTTGAGAGAGGCAGCCTGTGGGGGACACACTTCCTGGGTGGGGGCCTGTGCCACCCTGCCCTGCCCAACCCCAGGCCTGCAGACATGGAGGGAAGGAAGAGGGGGCCCCAACACATGGAAGGGGACTCACTATGGCAAACAGGGCAGAAGCAGGGTCCTGGAGAGGGGTGCGTGCAGAGAACCGGGGAACATGGCTTCTTCTTGCAATGCATGGAACCTTCCTGGGAGAGAGAAGCCATGCTGCCACATCTGACCCCCAAGTCACTCCATTGCACCTTCAGACTAGGCTGTGCTGCCCTTTGGCAGGTGCTCCTACTAAACCTGCCAGGCCCCAACCCCCTCCCTGGCCCAGGAAACCTAAGCCCAACTGTGTCCCCAAGACACTGCAGGCAGAGGGAACTACTTGTGGCCTGGGTGGAGATAACCCCTTCCAAAAAGGATAAGAGATAAAGGTTACCAAGTCCCCAGAGGCACTGCTTCACCTGGCAGGTGCAGAGGGAGCAGGTGGGATCAAGTGGATCAGGAAGGGTTTCTCCAAGGGCAGCAGTGACCCCATGGTAGAAGCATCCTGGCAGAGTGGGGAACACAATGGGAAGGCCGCCATCAACGGAGTCCTCTGCTGTCACATGCACACACACACACACACACACACAGCCACACCTGGGGGCCTCCCTCAAAGCTTAGGGAGAGATCAGTGTGGCTAGGAGAGGAGGAAAGTAAGGGATGTGGAGGACAGCCATCAGCTAGGCTGCAGATGGCAAGATTTGCATGTTCCTGCACGTTTCAGACCCAAAGACTGAAGAAGCAGAGGGGAGAGGTGAGCTGAAAGACTGCTGAGAATTTCCTGTCCACACAGGAGGAAGACATGTGGCACAGGCACACTAGATGTGGGACAGGTGGGCCAGGCCAGGCAGGGTAGGCTAAGGAAGCCACCCTCCTGATTGGTGACTCCAGGGCAAGCAATGGGAGCCATCAAACGATTTGAGTAGGGCCTCGTGGCATTTTAGGAAGAGAGCAAGACAGTTGGAGAGTCTTTCAGTATGGAAGCCAAAGGACCAGGTATTTGGTGTGACAATCTGGTGTGAGTGTGGATATGGTGTGAGAGGAGTCCAGTGAGTGTGTGTGTGTGTGTGTGTGTGTGTGTGTGTGTGTGTGTGTATCAGGGGAAGGCTGATGGGGCTCAGCTGGGTGGCAAAGCTCCGGACTTCTGGCAACCAGGGCCCTGGGGAGCCCTAGCAGGAGGTATGGCAGGTGTGGACCTACCCTGACATGTTGGGCAGCAGCGCCCAGGTGGGGTGAGTGGGTGGCTGCAACCCAGAGGCTCACAGGGCTGGTGGCTGCAGGTCACAAATCCTCCCAGGCAGGTGCACAGGTTGCAGGGCTCTCGGGGATCTGGGAATTCCTGGAGACTCAGGTAGGACTCCCCCAGGTACTCACAGCCTTCCAGAGAGGAGAGAGAGAGGGGTGAGTATGGGCAGAAAGGGATGAGAGGAAAGCCAGTTACTTGGTTTTGATCTTGGGTCTAGCAGGGGCCAAGTCCTCAAAGACCTGGTACTAGGAGGAAGGCAGGGGACCAGTCCAGGCCAGGAGGCAAAGGAACCACAAGGGGACAGGTGGGTTTGGACTAGACAGCCTGTAAGAAAGTCCCCTGTCCATCTATAGGAGAAAGCCCAGGAGGATCTGTTCCTGAGATAAACACTCAGCAGGCCACTGGCAGAGAGCTGGGAGTAGCCCAAGTGGGTTAGGTGGTGGAGGCCCAGGGTATCCCCTTTCCATTGCTGTTTCAAGCCCTCTTGTTACTCAAGGAGGGTAATGGGGCCCCAGGGTGTGGTCAGCCTGTGCTGGGCTCCTCTCTGATGCTGACTCACAGCCCTTTTTAAAAGGAGAGGGTGAGCTAGGCATGGTGGCTCATGCTTACAATTCCAGCAGCACTGGAACCTGAAGCATGGGTATTACAAGTTCAAAGCCAGCCTCAGAAACTTAGTGAGGCCCTAAGTAACTTAGCAAGACCCTGTCTCAAAATAAAAGGGCTGGTGATGTGGCTCAGTGGTTAAGCACCACTGGGTTTAATCCCTGGTTCAAAAAAAAAGGAGAGTGAGCCTGAATCTCAGGCTCTAGTCTTGACAGGAAAAAGTATCTAACTAGAATCTAACAATATTATATTTTAATTGTATTCATGTACTGTATGATATAACTCCTTTCTAAATAAATTTAAATTAATAAGTGAGTTCATTTGAAGAAAAGTATTAAATAAACTACAGTTGGTAGGAGGTGTATAGCAAAAATTTCTAAGCTAGTACAAAGACTTGGGAACTGGATCTGGTTCAACTCTTTTTTACAGGAGTTAAAAATTAGGCTTGGAGGGTGGTGGTAGTGCTGGAATTGTGGCTCAGTGGTACAGCACTTATGAGGCACTGGGTTCAATCCTGAGCAGTACATAAAAATAAATAAATAAAGTAAAGGTATTGTGTCCATCTACAACTAAAAATATTTTTTAAAAAGAAAGAAAAGAGGCTGGGCATGGTGGCTCAGGCCTATAATCCCAGCAACTTGAGAGGCTGAGGCAGGAGGATCTCAAGTTCAAAGCCTCAGCAATGGTGAGGTACTATGCAACTCAGTGAGACCCTGTCTCTAAATAAAATACAAAAAAGGTCTGGGGATGTGGCTCAGTGGTTGAGTGCCGCTGAGTTCAATCTTTCCCCCCCCCCCCCCCCCAAAAAAAAAAAGGGAAAGAAAAGAAATTAGGCCCAGGGAAATTTTTTAACTTGCCCAAGATCACACAAACACACAGTATCAAAGACAAGAGCAAATACAGACTTTAGTCTAGGACGTTCACTCTCTGAGGCTCCCTCTTCTCCCCCATCTCCCTATACAAGGTCTCACTCTATTGCCTAGGATGGTCTCAACTCAAGGGTTCAAGTGATCCTCCTGCCTAGAGTAGCTGGGCTACAGTCCTGCATCTGACTCAGAGCCTTTTTCTTTCTGTAAAAAAGTATTCTAGGTCTTCCCAAGAATGCTGGCCCAGCTCTCTAGTCCTCCCCTGGCTCCCCTCAGTCCCTATCACCTGCCTCTCACCATCACAGACAGGGCAGCAGTCGTCCCTGGCGGGGAAGGGGCACTGTGCTGGGGCACAAACCCTGGGCTCGCAACTGATGCTGCCCTCCCAGCAGAGGCACGTGTGGCAAGCAACGCTGGGCGATGGGAAGCGCTCCCCGCTGGCGAACTCGTTCCCCTGGTACAGGCAGCCTAGGGAGAAGGGCGAAGGCTGGGCTGGGGGGCGGTGGGCAGCTAGCTCCCAGGCCCTGATGAAGGACAATAGTCCTTACTGTGTGCGGGTGTGAGTGTGTGTGTGTGTGTGTGTGTGTGAGAGAGAGAGAGAGAGAGACAGAGAGAGAGAGAGATGGGGATGGAACACTGGGCCTCCTGCATCATAGGCAAGCGCTCTGCCGCTGAGCTACACCCCCAGCCCTCCTACATTCCTATTGAGAACCCCAGTGTGGGAGGCCGGGTGGTGGAGGGAGATCCGGGTGGCATCGAGGGCTGAGCAGGGGGCGCCAAGCAAAGGGCGCGGGCGTGGCCGGTGCAGGCAGTGGCCAGGAGATGAGGCCGCTGCCCAGTCTGGAGGAGACGCCCAGGCGGTACCATCGCAAGAAGGGCAGCAGGGTCCCTGGCGTGGATGGGCGCAGAGCGCTGGCAAGCAGGGCAGACGCTGGCAGGACACCGAGCCATCGAGGCAGAGGCAGCGGCGGCAGGGGTCGCTGGGCGGGGAGAAGTGTTCCTGGTGGCGGGCGGGGACAGTGAACCCGGGCCACATGCAGCTGGCGGGAGAAGCTGCGGGTCGAGAAATTGCAAGAAGAGCGTCCAGGGAGGGGGCGCCAAGGGCCCCTGGGGAGCAGCGGCTAAAGAGTGTGGTTCCTACCCGGGCACTGCGGGCAGCAGTCTCCCTGTGGCAGGACGGGCTCTGGACAGGGCAGTGGCGGGCAGCGGCGGGCCAGGCACTGCACGTTGCCTCCCTGCAGATGATGCCAGCCCAGTGAGTGGGAGGAGGCCAGGGAGACCTCCACCCCTTTCCACCCCATCTCGTGGACCCCTCCTGACTTCCCCAAGTCCCACCTCCACTCTATTGTTGCTCCTCTTTTCTGTCACACTCACCAGGCAGTGACACAAACGGCAGGGGTCAGAAGGGTGAGGGAAATCTGCTCCGTTGGGGTACTCTTTCCCGCCATAGGCACAGCCTAGGGAAGGGGCAGCTATAGGTCTGGGGGAGGCTCTGCTGCGCCCAGGCCTAAATGCCTGTCTGGTGGGGCAGAGCCGTACCAGAAGCCCCCCTCCGGATCCCATTGATCTCACCACTGCAGTTGTTCTGGCAGCAAGTACCAGGCAGCGGGTGGGCACAGGGGGCCCTGGGGCAGGCCCGAGGCTGACAGAGGGCATGGCCTTCCTGACACTGGCACTCCTGGCAGGGGTCTCCAGGGTGGGAGAAGCTCTCACCATCCACAAACACCTGTTTCTCCAGGATGCAGTCTGGGCAGTATACAGTGGGGACAGGAACAGGGCAAAGGCTGACAGCACTAGGTACAGAAGAAAGCCCCTCTGCCCATGGAGTCCAGAGCCACTGGGAAAGTACCAGCTTGGGAGCTGCCCCCAAGGAGGGCGAGAAGGAAGAGGGCCTTGTGCACCTGTGCATGCATGTATATTGCTCCAAGCGTATGCTAGTGTGTGTGTGTGTGTGTGTGTGTGAGTGTGTGTGCATTTGAGCTTGTACCTGCAGGCAGTTTTGTCTCTGAGGGTGAAGAGGTGAAGAGCTTACACACATGTGCCTGGTTTGTGACATGCACCCTAGCACAGAATTCTCCATGCATGTAGAGATAATGTCCCACTGCACCCCAGCACCCAGTTTCCTACATGGCAGATGCAAACACTTGTTGCAGGACCCTGTTATTCAGGTGCATATGTGAGTATCTGAGAGGTGGGCATTGGAAGAGGAAGTGGACAAAGGGTTAATAAATCCCTACTTTCCACCCACCCACACCCTATAAGTTCCAGAGAATTCTTAGCTGAGTGGAACTAAAAATAGTTTAGAAAGCCATTGCTTTCAAAGACATCCATCAGGCTTATGGGACCATGAGCAATAAGCACATACCTGGACACTTGGGGCAGCACTGGCCGGGTCCACTCTGAGGCCTGGCACAGGTCATGGGAGGACAGTTGACCAAAGAGCACCTCACAGTCCCATCCTGGGAGCAGGGGAGAGGGCCATGGGGGCAGGCCCCAGGAGGGGCTCAGCAGGGCAGCACAAGCCTCAGCAGGTACCTCACAGCGGCAGGTGTGGCAAGGGCTGTCGGCATCCGTGAAGTTCAGCCCATTGGCATACACTTGGCCATGGTAGGTGCAGCTCTCACAGCTGGGGCAGCAGGCACCTGGCAGGGCAGGCTGGTCAGGGTGGGTTGGGCAAAGCAGGGGAAGAAAGCCAAGATCTGGGCAAGAGTACTCACCAGGAGGCTGGGTGGGGTGCTGGCAAGGGGCTGGGGGGCAGAGCACAGCCCTGCACACAGGCACCCCATCCTGGCAGGAGCAGGAAGTGCAGGGCTGACCATCGGGCTCCCACTGGACCCCCTCAGCAAACTCTTCTCCATCAAGCACACAGGCTACAGCAAGGGGGGCTGTCACCATGGCAACTGGAGGACCTCCCACCTATCTTGTCCTCACCAACCCACAGAGACCCTGGCTCATCACTGCCCACCCCCCCTTAGGCTCTGCACACTCTGGAATGATTAGTGGACCCTACCCCTTTACTGCAAAGAAGCAAGGTCCCTCTCCACTCCCCTGGAAGCAGCACCCTTGGCAGTTGCCAACCCCCTCCCCTGTGGCCCCGACACACACCTGGGCAGAGCTGGGGGCCAGAGGTAGGTGGGCCACAGGGAGCGACTGGGCACTCCTGCTCCTCACAGGAGACCTCACCAGCCTAGAAGGAAGGCCAGGTAAGAGGTCCTCAAGGAGTGAGACAGACCTGGGCAGGAGACAGGATTGCCCACCTGGCAAGAGCAGCGGACGCAGCGGCCACTCTCTTGGAGACTGAAAGTCTCCTGGCTCTGATACTGGTGTCCCTGGTACTCACAGCCTGGACAGGAGGACAGGAGGCTAAGAGGACAGGGCTGGCAGCTGAGGGAGAAACCTCATGCTACCCCAAGGCATCCATTCCCCCCTCTGACAAAGAACACACAGCCATGTCTTCCTGGAGACCCTGCCATCACCCCCTTCATACCACAGCATCACTTTGCCATGAGAAGGTGAGGTGGGAACTCTCCTGAGCGGGTACAAGGGAAGTGAAGTCCACCCACCTAGGAACTTCTCTGCAGCCAGTGCCTTCCCCTCCCATGGTCACCCCAGGCCCTACTCACTGTCACAGACTGGACAGCACTGCCCAGGGATCCTGCCTGGGTGTCTGCAGGGCACGGGCGGGCAGGGCAGAGGCTCACACTGGACACTCCCATTCTGCCAATAGGGTCTGGTCAGCAGGCAGCAGGCAGGCCAGGAAGCCAGGCCCTCCCTGCTAGGAAGCCACACTCACAGCACAGCGGCACTGCAAGCAGGGGTCCCTGGAGCCTACTGGCTCCCCGCTGCGGTGCTCCCGCCCATTTAGGAAACAGCCTGCAGAGAAGAGGTGCCCAGACTGCTCAGGGTCCCCTCCCAGCCTCACTCCTGGCCTTCATGGGAGACCCGAGCTGGGCGGGCTATCAGCTTTCTGAGCCCCTCTGGGCTCAGCACCCTGTTCCACCCACCAACTCACCATCACACACTGGGCAGCAGGTGCCTGGGAGGGGCCGGGCAGGGTATGGGCACAGGCTGGTACATTCTCGCTGGCGGCACTGGATGTGGCCCTCCTGGTAGAGGACAGGATGAGCAGGGGAGAGCTGTCAGGGCTCAGCCACATGGCAGAAACAGCACTGGAGTTCCAGCCATTTGCCCATTGGAGGTTGTTATGGGTTGAACTGTCCCCAAAATGCAAGTACCTCAGAATGTGATCTTATTTGGAAATAGGGTTATAGATATAATTAGTTACAAAGAGGTTAGCCAGTATAGATGCACACATCTGTAATCCCAGGAAGGAGGCTGAGGCCAGAGGATTGCAAATTCAATGGTAGAGTGCCCTGGAATTCAATCCCCAGTTCCCCCAGCCCCCCAAAGAAAAAAACAACAAAGATGAGAGCATAATGGTAGGTGGGACCCTCACTATGAGTGGTGTCCTTATAAAACGGGAGAGTGCTAGAGTGCTTGCTTAGCATGTGTGAGGCACTGGGTTCGATTCTCAGCACCACATGTAAATAAGTAAATAAATAATAAAGGTCCATCAATAACTAAAATAAAAAGTAAAAAAAAGAAATCTCCAAATGTTTAAAAAAAGGGAGGGGGCGGGTAGTTTAGACCCAGACACACACACGGGGAGAATGCCATGAGATGAGGGCGGAGATTTGGGTGCTGTAGAAGCCAAGGACTGCCAGCTACCACCAGAAGCTAGGAGACAGGCATGAAGCAGATCCTCCTTCATAGCCCACTGAAAGGACCAACCCTGCTTACACCTTGATCTTGGATTTCTGGCCTCCAGAACTGTGGGAGAATAAATTTCTATTGCTTGGGCCACTCAGTTGGGGTTCTTTGTTACGGCAGCCCCAGGAAACTAATATGGTATAACCTAGCATATTACTTAAGCACTCCGTGACTTGTTATACCTACCTGGAAAAAATAGACATACTTATGGTGGGATGAAATGAGAGAAGGGTTGGCGTGGTGTCCATGGCTGGAAGCTGCTGCTACATTCCTGGGGTCTATTTGCAACAGACACTATCCCTTCAATTCACTCTCCATCCCTGGGCTCTCTACTTTCAATCCCACCAGGGTATGGGCAGTTAATGACTCTTCTTACAGATGGCAAGGGCCCATGTGAACAGGGAGGGGGAGGACATGTTTCCAGTGGGGTTGAGCACTCCAGTGGCCTTCACAATGGAGTCCTACTCTTTAGCAGGCCATAGGAAACTCTGGCCCTGGCTCCGGTCCCCATGAGACAACCCTCCTCTGTGTACCTGCCTGACGTTAGTGCCTACGGGTCCCTAGCTTCATGCCACCTGCCCTTAATTCCCTATTCCACTTTCCCCTCCTCAAATCTGACTCATCCTGTAATGTCTAGGCAAATACCATCCCTTCCATGAAGTTGTTCTAGATCTGTGCTGCCCAAGAGCAATGTAATGCAAGCCATGTAGGTCATGTTAAATTCTCTCAGAGCCAACTTTTAAAAAAAGAAATAGAGAAAATAAATTTTAATAATATATTCAATTTATCTAATATATTCAAAATATTATTTCAACACATGTTCATGAGCTATTTTACATTTTGTTTTATCTTAATACATCTTTGGAATTGATGTGCCTTGCACACTTACCTCATCTCAATTTTGACCAGCCACATTTCAAGGGCTCAGGGGACACATGCAGCAGTGGCTATGGAACTGGGTGCCAAAGTCAAACTGTGCTTCTCCCTCAGGGAGTTTCTGCCTGTCATATCTTGTCACCTCTCTCCCCTCCTTCTACCCCTGAGCTCCTTGAGTTAGGACAGATCACAAGCCCTGCCAGACACCTGTGCTTACAGCTGAGCACATAGGTGTGCATGTTAGGTCCTGGGCTCATAGCACCCAGGATTCAGTCTTCTCCATCACTGTCCCATCCCACTGCCCAGAGGATCTGTTCTGTGGACTGAAGTTGTGAGGGCAGGGTGGAGTGAGGGACAGCTCAGGTGTAGTCTTGGGACTCACCAGGCACTGGCAGATCTGGCAGGGGTCCCCAGGTGCAGTCCATTCTTGGCCATGGTCCCTGCGAGAGCCACCTTCTGTGCAGCCTGGGGCTGGGGACGGAGAGGCCTGGTGGGAGCTGGACTAGTACCTGGCATCAGCCTTCTCTCCCTCCTCTGCTCACATGCCTTCGCCAGACCAGGCCATGCCTTGGCCTAGACCCCAGGCAGGGTGAGGCCCCTTCCCTAGCCTACCCTTCCCCTGCCTCCCTTGGACAGCACAGGCACACCTACCTGCCCAGCTCACCCCTCTCTTTAACCTTGGTTATTTGTGCCTACATGCACAGTCCCACTAACATCCCCCCAACCCTGAGTGTCAGGTCCAAGTCTTCACTCACACTGTCCCCTCTTCCTGGAATGTCCTCTGCCTTTTGCCCATCACCCAGCTAACTGCTCTTTATCCTTAAGTGTTGCCTTAAGTAGCCTCTGGGATGCTTTCCTTCCTGTGTCCAGCTGGATTAGTTCTCCTTCCCCTGAGTTTCCTGGGTACCTGGCCCCAGCTTTTATTTCTGCTTTTATGACATTATTTTACAATATTGCTATATAACTCAGGTTTAGCCTCTAGTGGTCATCCCAGGGGACTGACCCCTTGACTTCTGTGTTGGGGTTCCCAAAGTAAAAAATCATGATCATTTATTATGCAACACTATGGGGTATAGAATATCATTACATACATCTTACAAATGGGGAAACTGAGGCACAGAGTGACTTAGAGTCCCACAACCACTGTGTGACAATAGCAGGATTTGCGCTCAGGCATTGTTGCTCCAGAGCAGGCTTACACTGGCGATGCTCCCTCACTGGTCAAATCATAGAAGAAATGGTGTAATAGCCCTACTGGGGACTCCGTTAGGAAAGGGTCAGGGGCTCTCACCTTGGCAGGCTGGGCAGCAGTGTCCAGGCCTCAAGACTGGCTCAGGGCAGGGGCTGGGTGGGCACTTCAGGGGCACACAACGAACCAGGCTCCTCTGAAACACACCAATGGCTGTAACTCCACCAGACCTGGCTCCCAGAGCAGGTGTGGTAGGCAGGTGTTGGGCAGGGATGGAGGGAGAACTTTGGTGGCACAAGCTCTCAAAAGGCATGCGAGGGACTGACAGAGTGTTTGACATGGTCCAAGGTGGGGCAGGGTTGTCCAAAAAAGAGCAGACCTTGCAGAGGTGGCAGGGGACTCACCTGGCAGGAGCACTGGAGACAGGGATTGGAGCTGGGCAGGAAGCTGGCCCCCTCCTCATACAGCTGTCCCTCATACTCACAGCCTGAGGAGGGTTGCCAGGATGATAGATGGGTCATTAGAGAGCAGGGAGGGTAGACATCCCCCCAAGGGAAGGCATGACCCCAGGTAGGTACTGGACTACTGGGGCTGAGGGGGTGGAGCAGGCAGGGCAGGAAGTCACCTGGCCGGCAGACAGGGCAGCACTCTCCAGGTGGAGTGTAGCTCTCCAGGCAGTTGAGCTCAGAGCATGAAGGCCCCTGGCACCGCACGGTCCCTGCCTGTGGGCAGACACTGAGCCCTCCCTCCCCCCTCCCTCTCCACTGCCCAAGCTGGGTTACTCTGCTGACCTTGCAGGTCTAGCAGGCTTCAGGACCCATTGCCTGGGTATAGGCAGCAGCCCTATCTGGCCCCAGATTGGCATGACATGGCCAGGCCTGGCTTGTGCTAAGCAGCAGGTATGTGGGTGGTGGCTGGGGCCAGGTGCTGATTCTCTTACCTGGCAGGTGCAGGTGACACAGGGCTCTGGTTGCCATGTTTCCCCAGCCCTGCGGCCCTCAGGGCAGCCTGCAAAACCAGGCCCAGGCCCACAAGTAAGAGACCCAGAGGACTGAGCACCATACCAAGGGAGCACCATTCAAGGCCCAGACTTCAGAGACTTTGATATTCATTGCACCTTTTCAGCAGATAGGAGTCAAGGGTCTGCCTCTAACATAATCAGTATATTTCTTCTATTTCACAGCAGATGGGAAGTGTGTCTTGAAAGCAGTGCCTTTTTTTTTTTCTTTCATCAAAAGCATCATGTAGGTTAACAGTGGCCCTGAGGCATCACATGCCCTGAAAGCTGTGTGTGTGCATCCTTTTCTTTGAGTTATACAATTTTATTCTTAAGGTGCTGGGGATGGAACCCAGGGCCTTGTGCGTGCCAGGCAAATGCTATACTACTGAGCTACACCAGTGTCCCTTTTCTTTGAGATCCATCAACTCCCAAGGCTTTAGTCCTTGGCTCTGGACAAAATTCTCAGGCTGCATTTCCAGCCCTCACTGCCCTTCCTTTCTCAATACCAGCTGAGACTTGTCTCTAGATAGGGTTGCTAGATAAAATAGAGGACACTCAGTAACATTTGAGTTTCAGATAAATAACACATAAATTTTTAGTATAAGAATGTCTTAAATATTGCATGGGATATACTTATACTAAAAATTTAGGTGTTATTTTAAATTCAAATTGAGCAGTGAACACACACACACACACACACACACAAAGTGGATCAGATTTAACAAGGCATCCTATATTTTTTTATTTGCTGAGTCTGACAGCCTGTCCCCACTCTCTACTAGGAACCGGTGTCAACCCCTGTAGAGCTACTGCCTCCTCTTCCTTCCATCTCTCCTCATGTCACTAGACTACTGCTCTCCTAGTTTCCCAAGTTCAACCTCTGTTAATCCCTAGAATCCAACCAGTCATCAGTTCCTGCCCATCCTTTATAAACATAACCCTCTCCATAGCCTTCTGCCATACCTGACTCCATGCCTACACAATAGCCCTAACAGATCTGCCCCCGGCCCCATCTCTTCATCCAGCCCATACCAAATGAATATTCCCCAAACACTTCTTTGAACATGCCATACTCTGACTTTTTGGGCTTCAATGGCTCCCCATTGCCCCCTCCCACACTCACAAATGTCCATACTGTAAGGCTTTTAGCAGCCTGTTCCCATGAACCTTCACTGACTGATGTGTGCCTTAGACCTCTCCCCACTCAGTTCTTGTGTGCAAAGGGCCCTCAATTACTCCTCCTTATGGTGAAATCCCACTTTCTCTTGAAGATCAGCTCAGGCAACCCCTTGTCTATAAAGCCACCCTGACTGGCTGGTCTGTATCCCTTCCTCTGGCAAACCATATTCTACCTTCTACACTACCTCTCATCTATTCATTGGATCTTAGATCTTGTGTAAAATTAAATATACATTTATCTTCTCAACTAGATTAGAAGCTCCCTAAGGACTGGAAAAAGGTCCAGTGCCTGTCTCCCTTATGGCTCTTTCCCGGGCCAGGGTCAGAGTCTGATGACTTGAGCACTGATCATTTACTTCTCTAGCACTGAGAGAGGGAGCTAGCTTACTCACGCCCAGATGGCAGACTACAGCTCTGGGGTCCCTAGAACATGTGCAGGAGGGACAACTGAGCCTGGCAGCAGGCTGACCTGGTTCACAGTGTGCACAGCATGCTCCTGGCTCAGGGCAAGGTCCTCTTGGGCATGGCCTCTGGGTACAGGTTATGGTTCCTTCCTGTGGGAAGCAGACTAGAGTGGCTGCAGGGCCTCCAGAACACCAACCTCTCCCCAGGCTAGGCTTGTCAGGGAGCAAGAGGATGAGTTGGCTTGGACAATACGGGTTTTACTCAGCTCAAAGGCAGAAAAGACATGCCTCAGCCCATCACCATCATCCTTGACCCCTGAGATCCCTCTCTTACAAGTGCCTGCAACTTCCCAGGAGTGAATATCCTAGGAAGGGAATAAAGAACCTTCGTACAACCTCCCCCCCTGGACCTTTCTCCCCCTCCCCTCCTCTCTTTACAGTCCTGGGAATTGGACCTAGGGGCACTCTACCTCTGAGCTACATCCCTAGCCCTTTATTTTTTATTTTGAGACAGGGTCTCACTAAGTTGCTCGGGCTGACCCTGAATGCAATCTGCCCGTCTTGGCCTCCTGAGTGGCTGGGATTAAAAGGTGTGTACCAATGTGCCTGCTAAGTGCTTTCACAGTGGAGGAGTGAGGAAGAAAAGGCTGAAAGATGATGGCTTCTGGAGCTGGGAGAGAAAGAACAGGCAGGCAGGGAAGGAAAGTGGAAGGGTGGGGACGATGAGGGTCACACAGAGGATAGAGTGAGGAAGGAAGACAGCCTCAGCCCACCACCATCCGCTATCCCCCATGCCACTGTTGGACAAGCCCAAATCAAAAGATTTGGGGGCCCCATCAAGTGCATGAGGATTGGCAGGGTGCAGTGACACATGCCTGTAATCCTAGTGGCTTGGGAGGCTGAGGCAGGAGGATCTCAAATTCAAAGCCAGCATGAGCAATTTAGTGAGGCCCTAAGCAGCTCAGTGAGACCCTGTCTCTAAATAAAATACAAAAAAGGGCTGAGGATGTGGCTTAGTGGTTAAACATCACTGAGTTCAATCCCTGCTTAAAAAAAAAATAGTGTGTGAGGATTGAATTCCAGAAGCAGAACCACTCAGCAAAGTCTGGGGGAGGGGCAGGCAGAACCCGTCACCCAACATCCAGCTACCACTTTGTCAACAGATAGCTGAAGTGAGACAGACAAGTGAGAGGGTCAGGTTTGGGACAACTAGCTATGTCACAGGAACTCACCTGGCAGTGGCAGATGGTGCAGGTGTCTGGGGAGAAGGTCTCTCCATTGCTGTAGGTCTGACCATTGTGGTTGCAGGCTGAGGAGGGGACAGTGCCACCACTTAGGTACTCAACACTATCTCCAGGTCCTGAGGCAGCACCAGTAGGTGGATGGGGTGGCACTAACCATGACAATGGGGCAGGTTGGGCTGGGGACCACAGCGTGCAGCCCCATCCTGGCAGATGCAGGCCGTACAGGCATCAGGCTCCCAACGAGCCCCTTCAGGCCAGATGCGTCCCAGCCCCCAGCACTGGGAAGAGGCCAGATGGCACTCACAGGATTCTAGCCGCTTCACCCTTTCCTGCAAGTCCCTGTTCTGGGAGAAGAGAAGGGAAGGGGTAGCAGGCATTGGCTCAGCTTCCCCCATTTCTCATGGATTTGTGGGTACAGAAATTGAGGCAGGATAAGAAGGAAAATTGACAATTCCAGAGCAGAGGTCCCCCTCAATCAGCATTTAGCTCAAATAGTTCTCAGGAAACACAGAGCTCCCAAGTCCCTCCTTGGACAAAATGGGGACCTGTCCTCCACCCAATAGTTAAAGACTTCTTTACCCATCCAGAAGCTTCCCTGGTGATGCATTATATGTAGGAGGGATTCTTTAATATTTGCCAAACACATGAGAGACTGAAAATCTGGATGAACAAAACAAAGAACCTGCAGGTTCTTCATGAAAAAACAGATGTTAAGAACTATTTGGATAAGAACCACTCCATGGGCATTTAAACTTAAACTCTATTTTAGGGACCCCAGGCCACCCACACCCAAGCCCAGTCTCCTCCCCTGACTATGTAAAAGCCATACTACCCAATTCGCAGGGCCCTGCCCATCATACCTGCTCTCTGAGCTCCAGCACCTCAGCCTCTAGCTGTCCCAACCGCTCCTCCAAGGGCTGTCCAGCAAGGGCCAGGGAATGGGTGTGTGCCTGCTGCCTGTAGTCATGGATGTCAGCAAGCCCAAAGGGTTCCCTGGGGACAACATCACCTGAAGGACACAAGAATGAACTGTGGGCCTACAGGAGAGGGCTGGCAAGGTTTCCTGAGTTCTGTCCTCTGAGCCATGCAGGGGAGGAGGATCACCTCCTGAACTACACTCTGTCCATCATCTAAGGAAGGGGACGGAGACTATGGGGGTGTGGTAGTGAAAACTGGGGTGGGGACATGGGAGAAGGTGGAGGAACAAAAGTGGTCCAGACCAACTCTGCCTCCTAATTAGGTGTGACACCCAGGGATACTGATCTACTAGGGACACAGAGCGATCCAGACCTGGGCCTCCCTGCAGCCTGCCCTGAATCTCTGATGACTTTGTCATGGGGTGGGAATGTCAGGATCATCTATCATTTCTTGGGTCAAAGAAGATCTAGGGACCTGACATGTCATGCTGGAAAGGTCCAGGGCCAATGCAGACTCAAGTGCAGGATTGGGGATGCTAGACTCCTACAAGGGGGCTTCTGTAAGTAGCCATGATCTAGTAGGAGTCTTTTCATGAGAGCAGTCCCACCCTCCCCTGTCTGTCTACACCTGTCAAAAAAAAAAAAAAGGCACCACTGCAGGAAAGGTGCTTAGGGAGGGGCAGTTGTCCCCCCACCCCTGCCTGACTACTGTTTCACAGGCCTGTGGCAGAGGGTCTGGTGATCCCACAGGAAGCAAGGCCAGAAAGCAGGGCCTGGCTGCATTTCCTGAAGAATTTTGGGGAAGTGCCAGCAGGGTCTCCACTAGCCTCTAATACCCCAGGCCCAGTGAAGACAGACCTCCCTGGGTTTAGATGATGCTATGCCAGAGCAGTGGGGTGCGTCTCTAAATTCAGGCCTGGGGTGGGGAAGGCTGCTGGCACAATCTCACTTTGATCTCTCTCTTGAGTCAGGAAAGTAAGGAGGAGGCAGGGGGCAACATGCTGACTCCAGGGGTTGCTTCCCATAGACATCCAGGTGGGGAAGAGGGTGGGCAGTGGAGGGTCACCAGGAGGAGGTGAGAGAGGAAGAGCCTGAGGGAGGGGAGTGAACTTTCACAGCTCAGCTCGCTTGTGAGGCTAGTTTCTGGTGTCTGAAAGGGTTTCTCACTGGGTCTATGAGGCAAGGAAACAATGTCCCCCTACAGCCACTACCAAGCCAGAAGGGGATTCTAGTTCCAGACTGAACTTGCCTCTTTGTCCAAATTCCTTGGCTTGGTTAATGCCATCCCACCAATCCAGATACCTAAGCCAGAAATATGGAGCTCAGCATCCCTCTTTTATACCCCGCCCAAATCCCCCTAAAACATGCCCCTCCTTTCCTCTTCCCTCTGTCTCTACTGAGAGTCTAAAAATCTCCCTAGCTTCCAGCTAGCTGCTCCTCTCTCTCAGGTGACCTTCTGAATTACAAGTTGAAGTCTCTCAGCCAAAAGCTCAAATGTGACCTCTCACCAGCTCCACCCATCTTTCCAGCCTGCCCTGCTACTTACCCCTATCAGAGATTCTAAGCCCCCAGATTTACATCACCAGCACTCTCATGTTCTCATTTCCATCTCTTGTGCAGGTCATCTTGTCACTGGGAATGGCACTTTGTCTTGGCATGACCCCAAGACCCAACTTCCTTCCCATTCACACACCCACCATGTGGTCTTAGCATCTGAAACCTTCCACCCAAGCACGAGTTTATCGTTTATCCGGCTTCACCCTACCGCTATGGCTCTGCATCCCAGGCCACTCCTCCAGTCCTGCTTAAGCAGGCACAATAAGGGGGTCAGGAAGGCCCAAGGGCTCCTCTGGCGACCCCAGGTGAAGACAGGGCCAGTCCCTCACCTGGAGACACCTGCTGAAAGGGCTCCCAAGAGTGGCATAAACCTGGTTGCTCCCTTCTAAGCCTCCCCCTGTTCAGTCCCTGCAGAAAGCCCTCCATTCCTGCCTGTCCCCTGGCAGAGGGCCAGACTCAGAGTCAACTCCCATGGCCGAACTCCTTCCCCCACCCCCCACCCCGCTTCCTCATGACAAATAATTAACTTCAGACTAGCAGATTCAGGGCTGCCTCTCTCCCACCCCACCGCTGCCTGCAGGAACCCCTCTGCCCAGATAGCCGGAGGCCCTTTCCCATTCCTGGACTTCTGCCTTAGTCGCCGTCTCCCCAGCCCCCATCGCCCCACAGATGGGGAGGACAGAAAGGACCCAGGCTGGCCTGAGGGGCTCGCAGCCCGGCTGAGCAGGGAGGAGCAGCCCGGGCCCCAGAGCGTCCTGGAGGCTGGACGGAGCAAGAGGCGGGGGCATGCTGTGGTCCCCAGGTCCTTGGCTCCCAACTCACCTCCCGTGGCGACGCTGCCTGCAGTCAGTGCCAGGCTCCCGAGCTGCAGGACCAGGGGCAATAGCTCGGCCCCTGCCATGGCCATGCTCGCTCCTCCCGCCCAGCTCGGCTTGCCTTGCTGTCTACGGTCTCGGCTCAGCAGGCGCTGGGGGAGGCGGGGTGGGGAGACAGACCGCCTCCCACCCAGTCTTTGTTCAGGGAGGGCCCCTGGCTTCCATCATTCAGCCCCGTGGCGCCTGCTTCCCCGATGGGCACCTCGCCCAGGGGCCCCAACCGGGTCCTGACCCAGAGAGCAGACGCAGTCCCCAGTGGGGCGGGTGTGGGGGTGGGGAATGTCTCCTGTATGTGATCCAGAAGGAGACCCTGAACATAAACACAAAGTCACTGCTCCTGGGGCTGGGGCTGCCTGTCTCCCTGCCAGTGGAAACCTTCAGGGTTTCTCAGTTTAGCTTTGTTGCATCTCAGGAGTTTATGGGAAAAGCAGCTTGAGACCTGGGTTCAAGTCCCTGTGCTGTCAATTCCATGTGTCTTTCCATAGATCCCTAATTTCTCTCAGGGCCTCAGTTTCCCTGTTTGTAAGCTGCAGGTCACAATATCTGCTTTAGAGACTTGCAGGGAGGATGAAGGGAGATTATGTAGATAGAGAACTAAGGAGGGCCAGGAGAGGTGATGCAAGCCTGTAGTTCCATCTACTAGGGAGGCTGAGGCAGGATGATTGCAATTTTGAGGCCAGCCTGAGCAACTTAGGCAGATCCTTTCTCAAAATAAAAATAATGAGAATTAAAAAGGGCTGGGTATGTAGCTGTGTGGTAGAGTACTTGTCTAGCCTGTTTGAGGTCCTGCTGTTTCATCCTACAGAGAGTGGGGGGCGGAGAGAGAGAGAGAGAGAGAGAGAGAGAGAGAGAGAGAGAGAGATAGGATATGAATATGAATATTTAAGAAATGGTTGGCACATTGTAAGTAGTCAATAAGTAACAAATAATAATAGGTGTTATACCCAGTCTCAGAAATCAAGGGCACCCAAACTACTCCACTCTCCACTCATGAATTTCTTTCCTGGAATGCACTCATCACCTCCATCCCCCCCCATCACTCCCAGTCTTGGCCCCAAATATTGAGGCCTCCCCTTACTGGGTCCCAGCCTCCCTTCACTGCTGCTGAGCTCAGGCCTGGCCTGTGGAGCGAGTCTGGGTAGGGGGCAGGGCTGGGCCCTGGGCTCGGCGCTGGGAGGAGGCCAAAGGGAGGAAGTGAGGAAAGCTGTCCTGGGAAACTCCTCAAGCAGCTGGGAAGCAGAGGGTCAGGGAGTGGGGCCCCAAGCTCACAGGCCAAGAAGGACATTAGAGGCGGAGCTCTGGATCCTGCCAAAACAGTCTCCCTCTGTGTCTTGAAGACCAGGAATCAGAGGCCACCCACCCGCTCCCCAGCCAGGCAGGGACTGAGGTCTCCCCAGTCCTCTCCTCTGGAAAGCTTCAGTAAAGAGAGGTCAGTGGCTCTTCCCCTGAGCAGTTTGCAGCCAGGGAAAGGGAGGCTATGACTCAATCTGCCCTCCACGACCTGGAACTGGGGTCATAGAAGAAAGAAAAGCCAGGGCCAGCCAACCGGAAAAGGAATAAGGAAATGACAGCTGTCTTCCTACCAGACTTAAGGAAAGTAGTTTACCTTCACTGGTTGGCTGCCTTTTATAAAGCAAGTCCTTGGGGAGTCTGGGAGTGGGTAGGGGGAGCCAAGATCATAGACCCCCATGGGACTGCTAGGGGGTCTACATTGTATATCTGTTTCTCACTGCTGTGTGACCTCCAACAAGTCAATTCATTTTCAGCAGCTAATTTCTCTTAGCTGCCACACTGAGCTCTAACAACAGCCAACTCTGTTTATGTTTATGAAAGTTTAAAAATTAATGCATCTAGCATAGTGCCTATTGTGCATATGAAGACTTATTGATTTCTTTCTTTTCTTTCTCTAATCTGTTCCCTGACCATGCAGGGTGTGAGGAGCCTTGTCCCCATTTTACACACAATCCATCTGAAAGTTACTGGGTGAACAACTCAAAGTCACTCTGCAAATAAACCATAGAGCCTGATTCAATGCCAGGTCCCTGGAAAATTCATTCTGTCACTCCTAGAGCATTTCCTACATTTCAGTGGTTTAGCTATTTCCCACTGTATAGCTATTTCCCATGGCAAGTTTTTGAACTTTTCTCAGTCTCAAGTTCCTTCCCTGTGAAACTGGGATAATAAGAGTACTTGTATCATAGTTGCAAAGATTGTCTTCGTCTGGATTTCCTGAAGGCAGAGCATGAGACAAAGACCTGTACGCAGGTTGATTTTAGAGTGTGATACTAGGGAGCACAACCCAGGGATGGAAAAACTGAAACAGGGCAGGATGGAAAGCTATACAAGATTGCATCATGGAGCTGGACACTGCTACGGGCATCTGAGCATCTTATCCTGAAGGACCATCTAAGCCATATGACGGCACGGCAGAACATGCAAACGCTTATCCAACGACATCAATGCCCCATTGGTTAAGGGTGGTCTGCAGTGGCCCAGGTATGTATGAGTGAATACCCAAGTGAGTTCCTGAGGTGCCCATTGCCTTTATTTCACTTATTTACATTTATGTGGTGCTTAGGATTGAACCCAGGGCCCTGACGTATGAGGCGAGTGCTCTACCTCTGAGCTATGACCCCAGCCCCTTCCTTTCCTTCTCCTTGAGCTTTCCCCTGGCGCTTGCGGGTCTCTTGCTCCTTGGGTCCCTCATCCTCAGTTGGTTTGGTCTGTCCCTTGCCTGGGCTCCTGGCTTCGGTCCTGGCTCTCGTCCTGGCTCTTGCCCCTCTCTGTGACCCCCAGCCGTGCCTTCCCGTCACCCTCCTCCTGGTCCCTTCTCTTTCCAGGCCCCATTTGCTTGGTCCCTGGTTCTGGATTCTCATCTGAGCTAGGGCCCCTTAGGGGAAACAGAGCCCTGCCCCTCGCCTGGGACCCTTGCTCTCCCTGGGCCCTTGGTCCTGCACCTAGAACCCTGACACCTGGTAGTGGCCCTGAGCCTGGGGCCTAGCTTCCTCCTGCCGCATCCCCTGCCTTCCTTCCCCAGCTTTGTCCACTTTTTCTGAGCCCTCTGCCCCAGCCCTGGACCTTGGCTCTCCATTCCCTGGGCTGGTTCCTCACCTGAGCCTCTGATGGCCCTACTTGCTCCATGTGAGTCCCTGGGTTTAGACAGCGGGACCCTCGCTGAGGCCTCTTCCCTGCTCCCCTTGGATTCCCTGTAGTGCAGCCCCGTCTTCCCTGCCTTGCCCCTCCCTGCTTTCCCCTGGAATGGACCCTCCTCTAGGTCCCTAACCTGGGCTTCCTGCTGAGGTTCTGGCCCCCACCCCACCCACACCTGTTTTTTCCTGCCCTTCAGGCTGTGCCCTTCTTAGGCCCTCCTGTCGTACCTGTCTCTGCCAGGGCCTTTTTCCCAATCCCCTTCCCAGGATTCTCACCCGGGCCAGGGGACTGGACCTGGCATCTTGGCCCTGCGAGCTCCCTTGGGGAAAACGTAGCCCTTTCCCTTCCTGGGCCCTTTGGCCTCCCTCAGCCCAAGCTCTACTCCCAAACCCTGACACCCAGCAGTGGACCTGGTTCTTGAGCCTTCCTCCTTTTGCGCCACCCGCTCCCCATTCTCCCCTCTCTCCCCTCCCAAACCTTGTCTGTTTTCATGCACCATAGCCACACTGGGCTCTCCATTCCTGGGCTTGGCTTCTTGCTTGGGCCCCTGGCTGCACTTCTGGAGGACCCTGTCTCTGTCTCTTGATTTCAGGCCCCTTTCCTGTGCCTCCCCTCTGTTCCCCTTGTGCTGTGGTATCCTGGCACTGCCCGAACCCTCTGCTCCCCCTGCTTCTCCCTAGCCTGGGCTCCTCCACAGGTCCTGGCTCCCCACTGACCCCACACCCCACCTCCGCACGCCAGGTATCCCCTCATAGTGCCCTCTTTTGGCCCTCTTTTGGTCAGGTCCCTCTCTGAGGATCTACTCACCTGGGGCAGAGGAGTGGAATTGGCTAGCCTCTACGCCCTGAATGCTCCCTATGGGAAATGCAGCCCTGCCCCTAGCCTGGGTCCCCTTAGCCAGAGGAACCTTGACAACTGGCAGTGGAGGTGGGACTTGCGCCAACCTAGCCCTGATCGATCCCCTCCCTTCCCTCCCTTGCCCTCTTGCCTTGCAGGCTGCCCCTACCCCAACCCAGCCCTCTCTATCCCTGACCCTTTGCTCTCCAGTCCCCTGGCCTGGCCATTTTCCTGAGCCCCTGACCGTGTTCCCTAGGTCGCAAGGATTAGCTTGGCGTTGCTTCCAGTTGGGTCTGACATGGGGGCCCCTTGCTTGGGCCCCCTAGCCTGCTCTCCTTGGTGCCCCTTGCTCCTCCCTCTATCTCCTGGTCTTCACACAGCCCCTTTCTCCCCTTCCCCTTGTGCTTTCCCCTTGCACTCGCGGGTCCACTGCTCCTTAGTTCCCTCATCCTTGGTCAGTCGGGTCGGTCTCTTGCATGGGCTCCTGTCTTGGGTCCTGGCTCTTGCCCCTCTCTGTGCCCACTGCAACCCCCAGTCATGCCCTCCCAGTGCCCTTTGATTCGTGTGGTGTCTCTTCGTGTTGGGTCTGACCTGGAGGCCCCTTGCTTTGGCCCCCTATCGCAATTTCCTCTGTGCCTTTTGTGCCATCCTCTGTCTCCTCATCCTAGTGCCTCCCCTTCCTCACCTTCCCCTAGAGCTTTACCCTGGAGCCCAGGCCTTCTGCTCATTGGGTCCCTAATCCTCTTTTGGTCAAGGCCATCCCTTGGCTGGCTTCTTGCTTGGGTCCTGGATCTTGCCTCTCTCTGCACCCACTATGACCCTGTGCCATGCCCTCCCGTCGCCATCCTCCTTGCCCCTGTCCCTTGCCAGGCCCTTTTAGCCTTGTCCCTGGCCCTTGATTCTCACCTGGATCAGGGCACCTTATGGGAAACAGAGCCCTGTCCTTCACCTGGGCCCCTTGCTCTCCCTGAGCCCTTGGTCCTGCACTCAGAACCCTGACACTGGGCCTCGATCCTGCCGTCCCCCTGCTGGATCCCCTCCTGCC